GTGTGTGTGTGTGTGTGTGTGTGTTTGTGTGTGTGTGTGTGTATCTATGTATTTTTTCCTTCAATAATATTGTCCCCAATTTATGTGATTTCTAATTTATATGTATTTGCGGAGTATACGTTATATATAATGCGTGGAAGTATGCTTGTGTTATAATGTGTGGATGTGTGACTCAAAGGCCTTTAAAGTCAATTACATAAATCATCTTGAAATCTTAAAACTTCCTTGGAGCCCAGAGAATGGGTCAAATGAGGTGAGAGGGGTGGAGGGCAGAAAGTGCAGGCGAAAGCAGACGACAGAACATTGCAAGAGAGCAGGAAAGGAGGTGGAAGTAGACAATTTTAGGTAAGAAAATTTCCGTCGTTATCCGTATTCGAATCCGGGACCTATTGGATGAGAGGTAAACACCTTACCCCCTAGGCCACGAGAGCCCCCTGTCCTCTGTTTGTTGGCGATGTGCGTGGAAGTCACGAATTGGAAACTGAGACGAATACTCGTCATGGTGAAGTCAGCCATAAGTCGGCCTCAGAGCTACTTTGTCACGTTTTGACTGCGAGAGGACTGGCAGGCAATTAGTCGTAGTCGCACAAGAGGGCTATCCCGAAAAATGCTGTTTTGAGAAAATCGAAGGTAAAGTTTTTGGACCCTTGTTCAGTCTCTTTAAAATACAAAGAGAGTTTTCTCTATTACCAAACAAATGTACTTTCACTTTTACTTTACGTCTATCCGCCGCGTATACCCTTTTGGGTGTCGCGGGAAGAAGGAGACTTCTCTCTGTGGCCAGCCGGAGAGCTTGGGTCAGGGGGATGCCGTGAGTGTTAATGTTTCCCTAACCCCATCTATCCAGGTCTTTCTAGGTCGCCCTCTAGCCTTGTTGCCATCGAATTTGTTTATGTAGGCACGTTGCGCTGGATGGTGTGTTTGTAATCGTAGGAGATGTCCGAACCATTTGATTCTTTGGTGATGCGTGACATCATTTTAGCCCACCATTTCTCGGATTACAGAATTTCTATTTTTGTCTCGCCTGGTCTTGTTTACTGCTTTTCTAAGGCATCGCATTTCACATGTTGTAATTCTTTACTCTAATGTCTTATTCGTGGTCCATGTTCGGCATTGATATGTGAGTGTTGGGATGAAAATGGTGTTGATCATTTTGAGTTTTGTTGTCATGGGGATGTTAGGATGTTTCAGTAGTGGAATAAGCTGGTAACTAACATTATTGGCCTTTTGTACTCGTGTTTCAATTTCTCTGTTCAGTCGCCCATCCTCTGTGAATATACTTCCGAGGTACTTAAATTCTTGGACCTGTCTGAGACTGTTGTTGTTGATGTGTAT